GGGGCTGGGCAGTTGGAAGTTTCCATTTGCTCTTGTGCATGCTGGGTCCGGGGTGGCATCTCACGCACTTGCTGTTTGGCAAGGAACTGGGGCGTAAGATTTGAGGGTAGAGAACCAGGGGCATGGTGAGGTGCGTCCCTCTGTCCCGTGGGCCGGGGTCATTTGAAGGACCGTTTGGGAGTGCAGCCTCTGACAGGTACAGCTTGTGTGTGTGTGTGTGTGTGTGTGTGTGTGTGTCCTGTTGCCTGCTGATGAGGAGGCACTGTGTTGTTGGGTCCTGGCTCTGTGCATCTCAAGCTACCTCTGAGAGATTGCAGGTAGTGGATATGGACGGGAGGCTGCCTTTGGGAGCTGCCTAGGGCCTGAGACTTGGAGGTGGCCAGGCTCCCTCTTTTCCTATTCAGGACAGTGAGCCCCCTTTTCTGTTCACTTTCCCTGCTTTTATTAGCCTTATCCCACTGTGGGACAAGGGGAAGACTTAGATGGCCTCCCGGCCCCAGGGTCAGGTTGGCCTACAGGAGCCTTCTTCTCCCAGGGCTCTCCCACTCCCACTGATTCCTTCTTGTCCATCCCAGCCCCTGTGGGCACAGAACCTGTTCTGCCATGCCTCGGGTTCTCCACAGCAAAGCAGCACCTCCTATCCTGGTAGGGAATTGGGAGGCCACATATTTTGACTTGTGAGCCATGAGCAGCCTGCAGGCCCCTCTGAGATGTGGTTTCAAAAGCATGACACCATGGTTCTGATGACTCCTTGGGGCATTTCCATGTTGATCTTCAGTGACAACCACTTTAGGACCACAGTCCCCAGCCCAGGAAGGATATCCAGAGCTGGAGGGCACCAGGGACTCTTAGCTGTGTGGTCTGGGGACAGAGGAGGGGGTTCTCTGCCTGTCCAACCTCTTTCCCTTTCTTGCCTCTAGGGCTGTGGATTGTGGTGGCTCTGCAACCCTTTGGGTGGTTGTCAGCTTTGTGTGTGTGTGTGTGTGTGTGTGTGTGTGTGTGTGTGTGTCTTCCTGGATCCACAGGCTCTGCTTCTGAGAAGAGAGTGACCAGACTCCATGATAAATTGTGGAAACTGTGTTGTCTTGCACATGCCCCCTGGGGTTTGGGAGCCCGAGCAGATGTTCCCAGGCAGGGGTACAAGTGGCCTAGCCCCAAACCATGCAGGAGTTTGTTTTCCAAAATGCGTCTTCCTGCTGCCAGTGGATGGCTGCCTTTTACCTGGCAAATTGTGGCAATGGAACCGTTCACACAGAACAGAGCGGCTTTTGGTGTAACTTAGCAACTGCAGACGGAGGAGGAAGGGGAGGAGGAGAGGGAGGAAGAGAGAGAAAAGGAGAAGGGGGGAATGCTGGGCAGTGTCTGGGCCTTGTTGAGGTGGTAAGCAGCTCCTGCATAAGGTCCCTCCCCCCAAGACACAGGTGAGGAGCAGGCCTGGTGCTGGGTCCTGGAGAGGCAACCAAATGGAAGTTGGAACATGCTGGAGCAGTTTGCACCTCATTGGTGGAACTACAGCAAAGGAAGCCGCAATGAATAGCTTAGGTTGGTGGAATTTATGACCTTAAAACTGTTGTTTCCCAGAAGCCACGTTGCAAAATAGGTCAAGAGAAGATGCCTTGCCAAGGCAGGGGGCACTGAGCTCCTTACTACGGTGGGGCGGGCCTCAGTGGACTGTGATGCCCATGTCTGCATGGCCCTACGCCATAGGAGAGGCCCTGCTGGGGAGGGAGACCTGGTCAGGGCATCTCTGGACTCGCTGCCAGGTCCCTACCTTCTGCTCTCTGATGGGACTCCTCCCTCCCTCCTTCCCGCTTTTCCTCCTGAGGCCATCTGCTCCAGCCATGGTTTGCTCTGGCTGTTTTTTCTCTCAGAGCTTCCAGAATCTGCCTTGTGTGATTTCCGCCCACTCCAGGCTGCCTCCCAGGTTTCTTTGCTCGAGTTGTCCACCTCCCTCCTGCCTGAGTGTGCACTTAGCAAGAAAGCGATGTGCTGAGGGGTGGGAAGCCAGGGTTCTGTGTGGCGTCTTGGAGGCGATGGCTGTGGGGGAAGGGCCCTGGTGACCTCTGGTCGCTTGCTGGGTCCCTGGCTCTTTTGGGGGGTCTGAGGTAGGCACGTAGACCTCTTTTTGGTTGATAGGTCTTTCTCACATCTTTCTGGGCCTAGAGATCGGTGCTGCTGATGTGTGTAAAAGTTAGACACAAGGAATGTCCTGGCCCAGTTCAGAGTGGTCAGGCTGATGAGCTCATTACTAGAGTGTTGTTGTGTTGGGGTCACCAGGAGGTTTCCATACAGCAGTCCTGGGATATAATTTGGGAAAGTTGTCTGGCATCAGCAGGGCCATGATGTGACTAGAACATGGAAGGCAGAGTCCGAAGGGCCGGGATTTCAGCTCAGAGCTTAGAAGGGGCTTGGGTTTCAGGGACTTGTGTTCTGGGAGAGCTGGCAAGTGGTTGCCTTAGGCACCGTACAGTGATAGCTGTCAGGTGAGGAAGCTGGGGTGTAAATGTTATCCATGACTGGCCCTGACTAAGGATGACAAGGAGGGATACTGCACAGGGAGACACAGATGACCATCAGTATCTCTGAATAAACACCTTCCATCACACGGGTGCCATGGAGCATGATTTAGGATT